AGCCTCCTGGGCACATGCTGCAACGAACGCCCCCACCGTTGTGGGGTCCTCCTCTTGACCTCGCGCACTTTCGGATGCAACCACCACCTACCCTCACTTGACCCTTCCTCCGCATCCACGACCCGGCGTCCCATGTCGCGCAACGGCTGACAGAATTGGAAGGCGGCTCATCTTTCGAAAAGGGGTCCTCGCGTGAGACTTCCGCGAAATAGCCGTCCACGACTTCTTTGCATCCTGCAACGCTTAGACGTGAGGGGGCGTGTTTTTAACCTAAGACGGATGGCGTGTGCTTCTCATGGGACTACCCAGGGCGTCCTCCACGTGGAGAGAGGGGGAATCCTTGACAACAGGCGCCCTCGCCTGACGGGCGGACCGACTGGTCGCTTGGCATCCGCGGGAGGCGCCCGCAGCGGAGAGGACACCCTTCAAGAATATGAGGCACTCCGCGTGAGAATACACCACAAAACTCACGATCGCTCGAGGACGCCCTCAGCCAGGATGCACAAGAACATCCAACAAACATGGAGAACAAGTAATTACCCTCCCCGAACCGACCTCGATCTTATATCTCGGTCCTATTGCAGCATCGGATGATGCATCTTGGGTATACCCTGGTCCTCCTCTTCCTCCTCCTCCCTCCCTCCCTGCTCGCAAGTGTCAGTCGACGGAGTTTTTGGCTCTTCAGCGTGTGGTTTGAGCTTTATCAACCCACATGGACTTCACATGGGCACGCAAAATCCATTATCATGGGGCCAACTGTGATTGCACCGACCTTGCAGACATGCTGCGGCAGATTTTCGCGTGGAGTTCTGTCAATGCAGAACCCCGAGACGGCGAAGAAAAAACGGAGCGAATTCAGAATATATTCGTTGTAATATTCATCCCTCGCCCAAAACAAATCCGCACGAAATTCACCTCCAAATCCGGAACGAACTTCTCCAGGACACTCCAGGCCCATCCTAGCGTTTTCCGAACGAAATCCGCTCTGCGATGTTGGCGCCGGGACAACTACGTTACGCGCAGTGTCCGCTACATCCCTGCGCTCGCAGGGCTGCTGGTCCTCCTTCTCCTCCTCCTTCTCCTCCTCCTCCTCCGACTCCTCCCAGCGGGTGGCCACACTCGGAACTGCTTGCTAGGGAGTCCTCTCTGGGGGCTACCCGCGGAAGCTGCGCCGCTGGGAGCTTCTTGTGAGCGCCCCTGCTTGTTCCCTCCCAGGTTGGCAGGTTTGGTTTTGGAATCGCGCGAGTCGATACCGTCTTTCAGAAAGGCCGACTGCTCTGCAGTGACGGCCGAAGGCTGGGGGTGTGCGCTTCCGAGCTAGATCTGTGCTCTCTCGGGTGCTAGCCGCAGGAGGGCTCCCTGGAACGCCTCGCAGGCGGCTCCAATATGAGCTTGGTACTTGAGAGGCGTGCTGCCTGCGGCGGCTCCCAGCCAGCATGTTGCGTTGTCCTTGGACGATGCTTGGTGGCTCCCGGCTCCCGAAAACTGAAGGGGCCCTGGGACACACAAATAAACACACACAAATAAAACGACTCCCCATAGTTTCCCGTAAATTCTGGGGTTCTTGTCTTCCCCCCCACTTCCCATAGTTTCCCATGTTTTCTGGGAGTCGCGGATTAATTGTGTCTGTGCGTTTTTTTTCTGCTCCTGAGAGATGCCTGGCTCCTCGGAGCCTCAAAGAAGATCGCCGCCCGGCGGCCCCACGGCCCTCCGAGCGGCCCCCCGACGCCGACCACGGCACCACGCCTGGACCTACGGAGGAGCGGCGCCACCACCGGCGCCGGGAGCCAGGGGACCAGGGGTGGTCCCCCTTTTTTTTATTAGGGGTGGTCCCCCCCCCTACAGGCGGATTTTGGACAACAAAATGAAGATACTCGAGAAATGCACCGAAGCAGTCAGAAACAGTTATCCCGGCAAAGCAACCTGACAGCGATGTGTATGAGCATATCTGGAAGCATCCCCCTGAAGATTCAGGTGAGAATCCAGTTGTAGAATTCTGCTGTTCTCGCAGTCGCAGTCGCATTCGCAATGACAGTCGCAGTGGCAACGGCCTTAGGATCCAATGGAATCCTAAGGATTCCTAGGGATTCCTAAGGCATCCTTAGACATCCTTAGGAATCCATATGAATCCTTCGGAAACCTTAGGAATCCTGATTCCTAGGGATTCCTGGGGATTCCTAAAGGATTCCTACGGATTGCTGAGGATGCTTAACTATGCCTACGGATTCCTACGGATTCCTACGGAGGCCTACGGATTCCTAAGGATTCCGATGGATTCCTACGGATGCCTCAGCCTGCCTCAGTTTCAGCCTCAGCCTCAGCCTGCCTCGGCTTGCCTCAGCCTCAGCCTCAGCCTGCCTCGGCCTCAGCCTCAGCCTGCCTCAGCCTCAGCCTCAGCCTGCGCCTCAGCCTGCGTCAGCCTCAGCCTGCCTCAGCCTCAGCCTGCCTCAGCCTCAGCCTCAGCCTCAGCCTCAGCCAGCCTCGGCTTGCCTCAGCCTCAGCCTCAGCCTGCCTCGGCCTCAGCCTGCCTCGGCCTCAGCCTGCCTCAGCCTCCCCTCCTCCCCCCCCCTTCCCCCCCCCATTCAGCCTCACCTTGTCTCAGCTTCGGCCTGCCTCGGCCTCATCCTCAGCCTCAGCCTCAGTCTCAGCCTCAGCCTGTCTCGGCCTGAGCCTGCCTCGGCCTCAGCCTCAGCCCTCAGCCTCAGCCTGCCTCAGCCTCAGCCTCAGCCTGTCTCAGCCTCAGCCTGCCTCAGCATCAGCCTCAGCCTCAGCCTCAGCCTGCCTCGGCTTGCCTCGGCCTCAGCCTCAGCCTGCCTCGGCCTCAGCCTCAGCCTCAGCCTGCCTCGCCTCAGCCTCAGCCTCAGCCTCAGCCTCAGCCTCGCCTCAGCCTCAGCCTCAGCCTCAGCCTGCATCTCAGCCTCAGCCTCAGCCTCAGCCTCAGCCTCAGCCTGCCTCAGCCTCAGCCTCAGCCTGCAGCCTCAGCCTCAGCAGCCTGCCTCAGCCTCAGCCTGCCTCAGCGTCAGCCTGCATCAGCCTCAGCCTCAGCCTCAGCCTGCCTCAGCCTCAGCCTCAGCCTGCCTCAGCCTCAGCCTCAGCCTCAGCCTGCCTCAGCCTCAGCCTCAGCCTGCAGCCTCAGCCTCAGCCTGCCTCAGCCTCAGCCTGCCTCAGCCTGCCTTCAGCCTCAGCCTCAGCCTCCTGCCTTCAGCCTCAGCCTGCCTCAGCCTTGCCGCAGCCTCAGCCTGCATCAGCCTCAGCCTCAGCCTCAGCCAGCCTCAGCCTCAGCCTCAGCCTCAGCCTGCCTCAGCCTCAGCCTCAGCCCTCAGCCTCAGCCTCAGCAGCCTCAGCCTCAGCCTGCCTCAGCCTCGGCCTCAGCCTCAGCCCTCAGCCTCAGCCTCAGCCTCAGCCTGCCTGCAGCCTCAGCCTCAGCCTGCCTCAGCCGCAGCTTGCCTCAGCCTCAGCCACAGCCTCAGCCTCAGCCTCAGCCTGCCTCAGCTTCAGCCTCAGCCTCAGCCTGCCTCGGCTTGCCTCAGCCTCAGCATCAGCTTGCCTCGGCCTCAGCATCGGCCTGCCTCAGCGTCAGCCTCTCAGCCTAAGCCTGCATCAGCATCAGCCTCAGCCTCAGCCTCAGTCTCAGCCTGCCTCAGCCCCAGCCTGCATCAGCCTCAGCCTCAGCCTGCCTCAGCCGCACCTGCGTCAGCCTCAGCCTCAGCCTGCCTCAGCCTCAGCCTCAGCCTGCCCAGGCGTGCCTCAGCCTCAGCCTGCCTCGGCCTCAGCCTGCCTCGGCCTCAGCCTGCCTCAGCTCGGGCATTCAAAATATGGCACGGGACTGGAGTTCTGGGAGCACGAAGATCACGAAATGGCCCACAGTTGGCTCCGGGCAATCAATATATGGTACAGGAATGGTGTTCTGGGAACACGAAGAACACGAAGTGGCCTACAGTTGGCTCCGGGTATTCAAAATGTGGCCTGGGAATGGTGTTCTGGGAACACGAAGAACACGAAGTGGCCTACAGTTGGCTTCGGGCATTCAAAATGTGGCCTGGGAATGGTGTCATGGGAAGATGAAGAACACGAAGTGACCTACAGTTGGCTCCAGGCCTTCAAAGTGTGGCCTGGGAATGGTGTTCTGGGAACGAAGATCACGAAGTGGCTTACAGTTGGCTCTGGGCATTCAAAATGTGGCCTCGGAATGGTGTTCTGGGGAGTCCTCGGATCCTCCCCTTCTCCCGCCCAGACCCCCCTGGGGAGTCCCGGGGAGTCCCCGGATTCTCCCCGGCATCCGCCCAGACCCCCCTGGGAAGTCAAGATGCTCTCTTTTGAGCCCACTAGAAACCTACCAGTCTTCGCTGTTGGGTAAATCAGAAATCGTCCCCAGACTATTTCTTGGCTGCTTTTGAATATCCCTCCTGTAGAGGACAGGCCCGTCTTGACCCTGGTGGTGTGGCCCCCCCTCCCCGCCCGAGACTGAATAATCCCCAATGCAGAGACGGGGACCTCGATGAGGCCACGTCTTCACCGTGCTATTTGACGAACCAACAACACCCACCCATACCCATAGAGGGGTCGGAGAGGGCTATGGGTGCGTGTTGTCGGATGGGGGTCCCCGCTCGAACGGGAGCGTTCCCCAGGGTCCGACAACCCGCACCCATACCCATAGCCAGTCCTCCTCCCAACGACCCCCCTATGGGTATGGGTGTGTGTGTTGCTCGTTCGTCACTATTCGAGTTAGGGGTTCTTTGATCCTCGATGATCCACACGCCGAGGATAAACATGCACACGTCCAAGCGATGCCGAGACCACAGGAGCTCGGCCCCGCTCTCGACGGAACCGCGGCCTGCGCCCCGAGACCCCGGCCCGGCCGTGGGCCAAGCCCCGCCGCGGCGGGCCGGAGGCGGGGCCGCGGGAGGGGCGGGAACTTTCGGTCACGCCGCTGCGCAGCACAACACCAGAGAACTCCTTCATCATCATCATCACCATCATCATCAGCAACATCAGCATCACCATCTTCATCATCATCAGCATCATCAGCATCATCAGCATCATCAAGATCACCATCACCATCACCAGCATCACCACTCCCATCATAATCACTATCATAATCGTCATCATCAGCATGAAATTCATTATCATCGTCATCATGACCATGATCACCATCATCACCACCACCACCTTCATCATCATCATCATCATCATCATCAGCATCATCATCATCATCGTCGCCTCCGTTGTCGTCGTCGTGGTCGCCGCTGTCGTCGTCGTCATCGTCAGCATCAGCATCGCCATCATCATCATCATCACCAGCATCACCATCATCATCATGATCATCATGATCATCATCATCATCATGATCATGATCATGATCATGATCATCATCACCATCATCATGATCATGATCATGATCAGCATCTTTTTCCTCATCATCATCGTCACCATCACCCAGACCACCACCATCATCATCATGACCAGCACCATCATTACCACCACCATCCTCCCCATCAGCATCAGCATCACCATCATCATGATCATTGTCATAATAATGTTCGGCATCAGCATCACAACCATCAATCATCAGCTTCAGCATCCGCATCATCATCACTTTTCTCACCATCGTCATCACAATCACCATCATAATCATCATCATCACCATCACAATCACCACCACCACCATCGCCATCACCACCACCACCATCACCACCATCACCATCATCACCATTATCACCAGCACCAGCTCCAGCGCAGCACCACCATCAGCATCAGCCTCAGCATCAGCGTCGTCACTATCATCGCTATCGTCAATATCACCACTATCATCATCATCACCACCATCATCATCACCACTATCATCATTATCATCATCAGCATCATCAACATCATCATCATCATCATCATCAGCATCGTCATCATCATCATGATCATGATCATCATCATCATCATCATCATCAGCATCAGCATCAGCATCAGCATCATCAATATCAGCATCATCATTATCATCATCATCATCATCATCATCATCAGCAGCAGCATCATCAGCATCAGCATCAGCATCAGCATCATCAGCATCATCGGAAGGGAAGGACGGAGGGGAAGGACCAGGCCAGGCCCCTGCACAGCAGCTCGCCGACCGCGCTCTCGCACCCGCGCCTGGGCGGCCGGGCACCTCCTCTGCCCCAGCGCCGAGAAACATGGAGCAGTCGGGTGGTCGGGGAGGGGGAACGCTAGGGGTCCAAGGCCATACCGACGGCGATGTTGGGTAGCGGCGATGTCGGGAGACCGATGTCTTGCGACGCCCCAACCCGCGCAAGGCGAATTTCAGGATAGCAAGAACAATGAACATAAAAGGATCCCCTGATCTCCCCATGTCTTCTGAGTCTTTGTCTTCCCCCCCACTTCCCATGTTTTGCCATATCAGCCATATCTTTTCTGGGGGGTCGACGACTGATCGTGTCTGTGTGCTCTTTCCCCCCTGATGTGCTACACTTGGGTCGGCCACGAAGCCGCCCCACAGGGGCAGGGGACTAGCTCCGGGGGGGCAGCACCGACCTGGAAGCGTCGACTACACGCAAGAGTGACCCTGGGTAAGGGTGACCTTTGGTGCGCGGCTTCTTGGTGGCCGCGGGGGGACTCAACACGAGCGCGCAAAACGCTGCTACCGCATCGCGTTCGGCGATCAGGGGACCCCGTTGGGCCCGCACCAAAGGTCACTCCGGCGAAAGGTCACTCTTACGTGTAGCCGAAAGTGGCGACACGCCGCTCTGGTGGATCGGCGAACTGGCCCCCCCCCAGGCCAGCGAGCGCGCGCGCCCCCGGGCGAGGAGGGCCACAGGCCCCGTCGGCGAGGAGCGGGCGATGGCCCTGGCGAGGCGGGGATTCGTCCAGATCTACCGCCTGCGAACCGACGTCCCGGTGGCCCAGCGGGCGGTGGGTATGGACATATATATATATATATAAGTGTATAGATATACACATGATGTGAGCCCCCGGGGGGCCCGACTCTGTCCACATCCACCGCCTGCCGGGGCCCCCGAAAATGGATCGATCCTCCAGGCGGTGGCCATGCATCAGTTCCCGCCTCTTGCACCCTGCAGTTCCCCCCCCCCACGTGGCGCCTGACCTCACCCACGGCCTCATTGACTGCCTACCAGACCACCCCAACCCAACCCGAAGACCCGAATTTCGGGTTGGGGGGGGGGATGGGCTCCATACGTGTTTTTTCGATGTTCCCGGATCCCCCCCCCACTAGAAATCCAGGGTAAATCCGAGCCTTCGGGTTGGGTTGGGGTGGTTTGGTGGGTGGTGACTCATGGTGTCTGGGTGATACCTCGGCGCTCCGGCGGCCGCTCCGGGCGAGCCCGGCACCCCCCGCGGAGCGCTCTCGCGGCGAGGCGCGGCGGCCGGCAGGCGGCCTCCCGAGGCCGACGCCGAGAGAGCCGACGAAGGCGCTCGAAGACCTCGGGCCCCGACGCCCGGGGCCGAGCGGGGGGCGTCCGAGAGGGGGGGGGG